GATTTTTGAACATGGGACCAAGTACATGCAACGACATCGCTTCGGCTGGGATCCCTACGACAATGGTGATGATGATGATGATGAACAAGAGGATGAGAGACAAGAGGCCATCATCGTTCTTGAAAGTTTATAGACACGTGGACACCAAAGGGGGGAGATCGGGACCATGCTGAACAAACGCGTCTTTGCAAAGACGTTTAATTACTCAATGTGATGCTGGTGTCGAAACAACGGGCCTTTGGCCACATCAGGCTTAGTTGCCGTTCCGGTAGGCTCCCGTGCCGACCATGACCATGCCACAGTCAATTGGCACAACAAGTCTGAGACGAGCTGCGAAACATGGCCTTCAAGCTCAGAACACTTTGGTCCGCTTGTGAATGGAATTGGAAAATGATTGCGCTGACTGACCACTTCTGTGTACCAAGTGTGTGTCTTGGGTATAGATCTTCATGCCAATGAACCATGTGCCGCCAGGCACGCACGATGCCGCGCCCAGCTCAGATGTTCTACGTTTGCCTTTTTCAAGCAATGGAAGCCCGTAATCCTGTGCCTTGGAAACTTGGTTGCCTGCTTTATTTTGGAGATTTTTGGAGCTCTCCGGGTGCCAATGCATCAGCTGAGCCCAAGAAAGAGCCCAGGTCCCAAGGAAATAGTGGAGACACCTCGAGAAGAGCGAAAGAGCACATGCTTTCGGTGGGAGGCTTACGGTAGCCACTGGGTAGCAAGATGTGTGCCGGTGTGAAACTCTTACCGCTTAAAATATAATTCAGTGGCAGCAAAAGGCTTGAGTTGCTTGGCGCCCTTCCGTGTTTGCTTGCTTTTAGTGTGGTTTGAGACGTGGCCATTGCTTGCTGAGGCATTTTGGCCCTAAGCCCACAGTTGAGAAGACTACCACCGTAGCTAAAGATGCAGATGCAGGTGCCACGCCTTGCAGCTGTTCCTTCGAGTCTCTTGCGCAAAGCCGCCACTCCGTCGCTGTGTCACAGTCGCATAGCTGTGCCCATAATCCCACGGATCCCCGACTTTGGGAGCGGGCATGCGGGATCTTCCGCTCCCAGCGTGATGCAACTGTTGGTTCCGCTTGCTGTCGGCCGTGCCGCCCGGCGCGAAATTGCGGCAATCCAGCCAAGCACATCGCGCAGTTCTTCAAGGATTTCAGAGATTGATCCTGGACCACAGCTGGCATCGACAGAGAACGGAGCCATAGCCTTTGCCACATCCGGGCAAGCCTGCGTCGATTTTCTCTTTCGAGTTGTTCCGGGCATGAAACAAAAGGAATTGCTTCGCTTACTTAGATCTGCTTGGAATGAAGATCCCTTGACGGCAACGAAGCTGGTTATGCAGTTGGGCGACCCCCGCCAAGGCAAGTCCAATCGGGACAACCATCAGCTTTGCTTGTTGTGGTTGTGGCGGAACTTCCCCGCAACGGTCCTTGCCAACATAAGATCGGGCGCAGTCTCGCACCACACGTGCTTGAAGGGAATGCTTGACTTGCTGATGTATGCCGCTTGGGATGCCGAAGATTTTCTGTCGAAAGACTTGGCGGCGCATCCGGACAGAGGCGGGAACCTGAGCGGCTGGACCGTACATTTTTCAGCGGCTCTCCCTAAACCCTAAACATTCGTCCATAGAGTGTCAGGCACCGTCGGGCCTCAGAGGAAAGAGCGCAAGACCGCGGCCTTCTTGCAGGACAAGGCGCTGCATCCTGACTGCATCCGGAAGGGCCTCGCTCTAGCTACCCATAGGCCCCATAGCAGTTCCTTTTGGGATTACCTTATAGGGTTCTAAATATGAACCCCAAAAGGAACTACTATGGGGCCTATGGGTACCCGCTATCGCTGTTGCAGGCACGGAGCGGTTACTGTCGACACGTAGCCGTGCGGCCTGAAGTTCTGAAGAGATACGAGAGATAGTGCGCACTGTTCGGCTGTGTAAGGAACGGCGAAGCTCGCCGAGCCAGAGAGCAAGCAGGTAGAGCTGCTCGCATCAAGGCATTTTGTGAGAAACTGGCCGACGAGGGCCTGGGGTGGCTTGGCAACATTCATGCGGCAGGCAGCTTGACTTTCGACTCCATGGAATGGAAAGTAATCCTGTTCTTGGCCCATGCCCTGGCAAGGAAGGAGCAAGACTTTCGGGTCCCACGCAAGTGGAGAGACGAGTCTGTTCCTAAGCGCATGCCGTGGATTGAGAAGCAGGAGCACCCGTTTAGCTAAGAAGGAAGCACAGACATGGTGGAACCAGAGCCGCAGATGTCGTCCTATGCAGGGATTGGGCTGCACACGCAATATGTTGCCGGATGTTTGAATACGCTTGGGACCCAGTTATACACAAGCAGCCATATATGACTCGACGATAACTATAACCATTTCCTGCAATGTGAACCTGGCTGGTCACGAGATGCACATGATGTGGTCCTACAGTGTACCCGAAGCCATCTCTGGCATTCCACGGTTAATCCGCTTAAGACTTAAGAGCCCTTGTGTAGCTTTGACATGGCATGTACGTACAGATCGATAATGTGCAGAACTGTAAGATTGTAAGACCGAACAGACACAACTTTCTCTACGTGATGCTTGAATTGACCCATGATGTTGCGCAGGAGTGGGTCTCTGACAAAATCAAGGCAAAGTTTGCAGACTATTGCGAGAAAGTGGATTGGGAGAAGAATGCCAAGTTGCACGCCGAGGCGAAGGAGAGGATTTGCCAGCAGAGGCTCTATGTGCGTAAGCTCTATGCGACAGATGCAAACCTCCGAGAGTTGTACGATACTGTGGCAGATGCTTTCGCGAATTCTCTACAGGAGCTGCGCCAGATCCTCCATAAGCACTCGGAGGGCCGGGAACTGACGCGCGATGAGCGAATGGCCCTGACTGGCAGCTTGGTGCCAAAGTGGGCTCCTACTTCACAGGGCATGCATGACAAGAGGACGGACATTGTGCAGGGGATTGTTGAAAGGCTTTTCCCCAAGGAGAGCTATATGATCCCTGATGGGACTTTCGAAGATTATGTGTCCCGAATGAAGGACAAGTACCGCCAGGAGGTGCTCACACCACTTCGGAAGCTTACTGAAGTCCCCGAGTCATGTGTTGGGCGCGCGCAGTGGGGCGAAGTGAACTACAACAGAATGGCCTCGAGATGCAGGTTGCTATATGGCCAAAGCGTATATGCAAAGCATGATCCGGAGCGATATGAGGCTCATATTGAAATGGCATTGACAGGTAAAGGGGGTGTCAAGGGGGGAGCCGTCATGCCACACGAGCTCGTCTACAAAGTCTTGGATCAATGTTCAAAACTGGAGGAGAGGGAGGTGGAGGCACAATGGAGGGACTTGGTAGCAGATGTCCGGGAATCTGGTGCCCTTGGCCAGTGCCTTGCGGTTTGCGATGTATCTGGATCCATGTACGGGACTCCCATGAATGTTGCGATCGCTTTGTCCCTCCTGGTTAGCGAAGTGGCGGAAGGACCCTGGAATGGAAAGATCTGCACCTTCTCCCAAAAGCCCCAATTCGTGACAATCCCCTCCGGCCCGACTACTACCTTGTCGAGCCGGGCACAGGCGACGCAGGACCTCGACTGTGGCATGAACACTGATTTCCTGCATCTGGGACTCATGCAGAGACACACGAACTTAAGCCCTGGTAAATTAAAGCCCGAGGCCATTTGTTGATTTTTGCTTCTGCTCCATCTTTCAATGCCGCCTGCTAAGGACACTTGTGTTGTTTGGGGGACATGGTATCGGGCATGTGAGACTAGAGCTTTTTGCAGTCTTTGAGCTGAGGGGAAGAACAAACCCCTCAACCCTAACCCGAACCTGCAAGAAAGACTCCACGACCTTCACAGAAGAAGCATCGCCTGCCTGCGCCCCAAGGAAGGTGTTCACAGAAATGCTGCGCATAGCCGTGGAGAACGGAGTGCCGGGAGCTACTTAGCTGCCTTTACAGCTGGCCCTTGTAAGCTTCTAGGGTTGCAGAGTACATGACCCTTAACCCTTCAGGTACATGACGATATATGTAGCTTTAAAAAGTGAAGGTTAACCGAGGGTTAACATCATAACCTGTGCTCGGGCCACTAGACTCTACAACTAGGCAAGCTTCCTGGGTGTCTGACAAAACTTGTTGCAGTAATTCTCATTCTTGCTTTCGTTGGGCCAGCATGCTTTGCAGATGATTATGTGCAGTATTATAAAATAAAAATCAGCGTTTGCCTCCCCTTTTCTAGAATTCAGAACAAGCAAGACTTTGCAGGAGAAGATGCCGAAGACTCTCTTCGTGTTCTCAGACATGCAGTTCGATGAGGCGGCTCACGGGGCTCACGGCCGCTTCGACTGGAGCACAAGCCACCAAAAGATCTTGCAAAAGTTCAGGCCTGGCACCGGCAAAGGATAATGTGTAGTATCAGCGAAGACACTTACTCCTTTCCTTCTATTCTAGCAGGCGATGTTTCACTTGTTACTATTCACACACACACACACACTTATATCTGTTATTTCCCATGTAGCTTTGGCTGTTAGGACTGTTAGGATTTCTTTCTAAATTGGAGTCGAAAGCCCATGAGGATGGTATGCTGGGGGCTTGCAGTAGCCATGGGATCGTTTTGTAGTATGCTGGCGGCGTGCCTTCTGCTTCCCGTCATCATTCCGCCCGGCAGGACAGCTGGTTACGGGCTTCATGTGCCAGAGATTGTCTATTGGAATCTGCGTGACTCCTGTGCACGCGGACGACTGCCGGTCCTGGCGGACCAAGAAGGTGTCGGGCTTCTCTATGATTGAACCAGAATCGCTCTCATAGACGTTTTCTAATCTCATGACCGAGCACCACCACCACCATCACCGTCGTCATCACCGTCATCATCATCATCATCGTCATGCTCATCATCGCTGGCACCATTCCCCATCCTTCCAGTAGCACCACTCGCCAGGTGTGGTGATGCTCTCTGGATTCAGCCAGGGCATGCTGAAGAACTTTCTGAAGAATAAGCTGCCTGAGAGGACAACGCCTCTAGAGCAGCTGCGGGCAATGATCGATTCTGAGTACTACGATAAGGTTGTGGTTGCGAGCGAAGATCTGCCACAAGAGGCGCCACGACCGGGACTGGCTGAGGTGCTGTTCAACTAGAGATTTCTCTTCTGTACATATGGCTCAGAGCCGATCCGCATGCCGCCACCGGCACGCATTGTGTTTTGCGTGCGCATCAGATACTGCGGTGGAGCTTCCATGATGCTCAATGTCGCCTTTCAAGTCTCGTTTGCGAGCAGCCGTTGGAAGCAAGGAAACGGGTAGGCATTTACATTCTTATATCGTTGCAGGTGCTTGATAATGCGAATGAAGCTTGAGAGGATACAGGCGCCTTCAGTGTAGAGTGAACTGGCGCAGACCGAGCATTGCAAACACGTGGAAATTTTGTGCAGGATGAGCCGTGCTGCCTCAGGTTGCGGGGGTACAGCCAGAAAACCCGCTGAGTCTACGGTGGCTGCCTGCTTGCTGACATCACTTTGACAAAGAAAAGGGGTGCACGGAATGGAAGGCAGATGCCTAGAATCCACGAACTGGAGCCATTCTTTAGCAGAGTGTCTTCCGAGGTGCTGAAGCGGTACTTGGTGGAGAATCCTCATCATCTCCTGGACATTCTGCCATTCACTCGTTGCTATATAGGCCAGTCAGAGATGGTCGACGTGAACGGGATCGCTCATAGTTGCCCGCAAATGATACCGAGCTGAAACTACAAAGGAGAATAGATATAGATGTACAGAGTGTGTTCTTTGAAAGCCTTCTGCTTGCAGGACCAGATGAAAGATCGGAGCTGGGATCATCGGAGACCACCTCGTAAATCGCGCAGCCCTGTCGTCGAGCGCCCGCGGCAGCAATCGGGCCAGAAGCTCAAAGTTTCCTGTGCCCTGCTGCATCTGGTACCTAACCTTCATAAGACAAGCCACAACCCCAACTCCCAACCTATATACGTGCCCTAAAGCCCGATACCTATGATCTTTCTGGCATCAAGTCGCGGTCTTGGGGATAACTGTCCTTGGCCCTTTGTGCGAGGCGCAGCCTCGCCTGGAGCCCACCAGCATTTCGGGGAGCCGCCGTGAGCCGAGACTCGTTTCGTTCTGAAAGGCAGGTGCGGATGGATACGGACGGCAAGGGCGGCTAGGGCAGGGATTGGGAGAACGATATGCCTTAAGACCTAGTTCGTTGACAGGAAGAGAAGGGGAGTATGGGGAGCAGCGTCTAGACGGAAACAAAACGGCATTGAATGAGTGTTATGACCACCACCCACCACCCAACACCACCCAACACCACCCACATCCACCCACCCCACCCACCCCACCCACCAGAACCAGAACCAGCACCAGGAGCAGGAACAACTACAACAACAACAACAACAACGAGACAAAGACGGATAGCAAATGGCAAGTAGGCGGCTAAGGGGTCGGATGTTGCGATAAAGTCTGAGTCTATGTCACCATATTGGCTGTGATAAACCTGGCCGTCATGAGACGGAGTAGATGTGTCAAGGTCCAACCTCTCAGCTACGCCTTCGGTGCCAGCCGCCCAAGACGTGATCGACATCACGGGCAGAGATGAGCCTGGCCGTGAGCTCAAACATATTTGGGAGTTTCTGAATATTAAGGGGTGCCTTATCTTGGGGTCCTTATGATAAGGATCCTACTGTTTAGGGTGCTATATTGGGGTCCCTTATTTTCCGGAGCTCCCATATTTTCTCTGAGAGTTAGCAGGGGTGGTGCGTGGTGTACGTTTGCAGTCTACCGTACTGCCCGTTTGGGTTGGCACGTTTTCTGCGGAACTGTGACGTTTGACATCATCTGCCCTTTCATATCTATAGCACTGTCATTTCGTTCGCTGGTTAGTTGGGAAGTTAGGGCCCATCCATGGCTGCCAACAAGAGGTGTCAATTTAGCCCTTTGCGCCGTCTTTTCTCCACGCGCAGACTTGTGGGGTGTTCTGCACCGTGAGGTTCTGCGGGCGAGGAGAGGGCTGCTCGGAGCCCTCCAGAGCCGGGCACGAAGAAGGAAAGTGAAGACTCACCGACGGCATCACTGTGCAGCTCGAGCCTTAAAGGCTCCGGGCGTTTGATTCCCCCTCACGCTGACAAATGCACCCCCCGAAACCCATAGTACCCGAAACATTAAGGCCTTCCATATCCACGGCAACATCCATGGGAGGGGGGTTGGAAATAAAGCAACAGGTGGGGGCTGGTGGGAACTCGGGGGGTGACCGTGGCGGGGGCGACGGAGGGGAAGGGGGGGGAGGGGGAGACATCAAGCCCTGATCGAACATGGTTGAAGCTCATCGGTTTCGGGCAATTGTTGTTGAGAAGTGACTGAGGTGGTGCAACCGTGGACAGCTCTTCGCAGAAAAGCAGAATCCAGGCAGACAGCTCACGGACAAGGCCGACAAGGTATCAGCCGTCGAGCTCGGTGAGCAGGACTCGCACCCTCCGAAAAACACGCCATCCCCCAAACCACTGACGAAGCTTGTCGAAGGAATTGCTGGCATGCTGCAGAGCCAGCCGCCCCAAGAGTAATCGATGTTCCGGATGACAGAATCAGCCGGGTGCCGAGTTGGAGCATCTCCAGGGCTCAGCCTTCGGGAGTTTTAGGTTTAGGCTTAGGACCCTTAAGGCTCGGATGCCAAGGCAGAGAGGTTCAGGATTGCGAGTTACAGTACGGCTTCAGGTCTGTCTGAGTTTTCCAGCATTCCCCTTCCTGCACTTCTCAGGTCGAGCTGAGCCTTCTCCGCCTGAGCCACAGTCTTGGCTTGCAACACGCTTGAGCCCAAAAAGCCTAAAGCTTTGCAAGACTCAGAGCAGAACATGGAATTTTGTAAGGGAGACTGGACCAAACCCCGCAACCCTAAACCCTAAACCGCGCGGATCCAGAGGCGCCTTTGTTGGAGCCCTTCGCGGATGCCAGTTCTCAGGCACTTTGGTAAATCGGAGTGTTGAGGGTGATGTTGTACCATAATAGTAATTAGAATAGGGTTCTTTTAAAGGGATCCACAAAGGGTTCTACAAGGGATCTATGATAGGGTTCTATATTAGGTGCCTTAATAATTAGACTAAGGGTTTTGGGGTATGTTATAATTATAATACGGAACCCCTGACACCCTATATTCAAACTATCAAGGCCCCTACATCCGTTGTGTGCAGACTGCGATGGGAGACCGAAAGTTGAAGAGTAGTCATAGTTCCAGCACGAGTCGAGACAGCCGGTGTAGTTAATATAGGGGCCTAAATAAGTACCCATACGATTTTCTGGGGGTTCCTCATTATAACTATGGTATAACGGGCCCCAAAACCCTATGCTAACTATCAAGGCGAATACATTATCAGCAGTCTTGCTGCAGCTAGCTCACGGCCTGTTTGGTTCACAGGATGGCGTGTGTTCGAACAAGTTCTCGGCTCGGCAGGGTCCAACTATGCAGCTGATGCAGCTCCACACCTTGAAAGCAGCGTATGAGTTGGGGCAATGTCACGTTTGCTTAAGTTCAGACGGTCGTACCCACCAGACCAGCTCAGAGCTGTGAGAGTCGAAGCACTACACCACAAACCCACCCAGCCCCTAAAACCTGAAATATTTACATTAAACTCCGCAAGCCCTGACGAGATGCGCGGCAGCCTTCACTCCGTGCAGGCCCTGTGGTGTTGAGCCCGCCGACTTGTCCGCGACAGACCCGAAGCCCGCGGTCTACCGGAGCAAAGCGCTTGGGACCTGGCTGCCTCGAAGCTAAGAGTAGTTACAAAACGACGTGGTAGGTTTAAGGCTGAGGAAAGTGTAAACGATCGTAAAACTTGGAAGAAGTTCAAGTTTAAGGCCAATAAAACCCCAAAGAAACCTAAGCAGGACCAAAAACTATCAAGTATGGGCCCCTAACATGGACCCTTAGGCCTTTCTAGGGACCCTTAAGGGTACATATAGGGTATACAGTAGATATCTAAGGAACCCAGGGTTAAGTTTCCGGATGCCTCGGCCCGGCGACCCGAAGTTTCCTCGAAATGAGCGGAGCGCTGCAGCGAAAGGGTTTAGGATTAAGGGTTTAGGGTTTAGGGGTTCAGGGTTTAGGACAGTCTTCTTCTTTCGATGAGACAGGCCGGTACGTAGCGAGGAAATCATGGAGAACCTAAAATGCATACACAGACATACATATTATGTTTATTTCATTTTAAGACAGAATATGTTGAGTTAATATATTTCTACATTACTTTCACGGTAATTATATATACATATATATATATATATATATGTGGGTGGGTGTATAATACAACATAATATAATATGGTTTTCGCGACCTTCTGTACAGTTCAAGGGTGCGCTGGTGATGAGAGGGGCAAGCTCCAGTCACGCCCCACAGAAGAGGAAGAAGACTGTAAAGCAGACCCGGCAACTGCCGTCAGCAATAATGTACAGCAACACAAGTTAGAGGGATGTGAATCGAGTGATTAGTTGTATCAGGCCTGTACTCCGCGTGTGCAGTGGTAGTATGGTAAGCAGATCCGAACCCCTTGTCACAGCTGACCTATTAACAAGACAGGAATACAGATGTTAAGCCGTCATGCGTGCTTTGCTTTTTCGTGTGGTGCCCTTGGATTGAACGGAACGGCGTGCATAGCATGCACGATCTTGCAGATGAGCAATCAATGAACCTAAACCCCTGAACCCTAAACCCTAAACCCCTAAACCACTGCTGCACAACATCCATATTCCTTTCGTACGCACAAAGTTTGCTAGGGTTGAACTTTTCTATACCAATTCGAACTTTGCGGAAAGGAGAAGGGTCCAGAGCTTAACCTTGGAAGCACTCAAAGAGAAACTCAAGAACTTCCAAAGCAAAATCTCTGGCCAGAGTACATGTCAGTTGTGGGCTACTAGGAACCGTACCAGAGAAGACAGGGAGAAAATTAGAGCCCTAGTCAGTATTAAAGCATGGGCTGAACAGCACCTTTCGAGTATGTTCATTGATCTTGACTGGCGAGGTCGTTTGTG